CCACTGGTGGGCCAAGCAACCCCTGAGCTACGGAGAGCCCCGGTCCTACCTTCCACGGCAGCGGTTCACCCGGGGCTGCCCAGGTGGGCTGCTAGCAGGCGGGTGCTGCCCCAGCTCGGGCTGGAAGAACAGTTGGATGGGGCCAGGTGCTGCTTCCAAGCTGGGGCAGCATCCACCCACTAACAGCCCACCTGGGTGGCCCCACGAGGTGCCGTCACTGTGGAAGGAAGGATCAGGCCCCCCCGCAGCTCAGAGCCTGTCAGCAGCTCGCCCCCCGGAAAAAGGAAAGTCAGGCAGGCTCCATGGAAAAAAAAAAGATCAGGCCCCTAACCACTTTTTTTCTATTTTTTCAGCAGAACCCACCTGCGCAAGCTGCCACTGGGCCACACAACCCCTGAGTAGTGAACGGGCCTGTTCCTTCCCTCCACAGTGAAGCCGCCCCATGGGGCCACCTGGATCAGCACTAGCTGCACAGGTGCTGCCCCTGCCTGCAGGCAGCACCTGCCAGATCCAACTCTTCCCCGAGACCACGCATTGGAAGCCCACAAAATGCTGCTCCCCACACGGACTCAGGGAGGAGTTGGAGCCAGCAGGTGGTGCCTGCAAGCTGGGGCAGCACCCATGCAGCTAGCACTGTACCCGGATGGTGCCGCCACTGTGGAGAGAAAGACTGGGCCCCCCCACTGCTCAGATGCTGCACGGCCTGGCGATAGCTCACACAAGCAGGCTCCACTGGGGTGGAAAAAAAAAGTGGCAAGGGGCCTAATCCTTTTTTTTTTTCTGTGAAGCCTGCCTGCTTCTCCCGTGGCCAGGTGGGTGAGCTGCCAGTGGGCCCTTAGCTTCAAGGGGCCCCAGTCCTTCCCTCTGCAGTGGCGGGGGCACTTTGATGGGCTGCTAGAAGGCGGGTCCTGCCTCAGCTCAGAGGCAGCACCCAGCCTGATCCAGCTGCTCCCCCAGCCAGAGCTGGGGCAGAACCTGCCCACTAGGAGCCCACCCGGGCGGCCCTGGGGGGCACCACCACCACAGAAGGAAGTAACGGGGCTCCCCACAGGTCAAAGATGCTCGCCCCCTCCCCCGCACCCCCAGCCCTGGGAGATGTGGGTAGGCTCCACAAAAAAAAAATAGGATTGGGCCCATCACCATGACAGTGACAGAATCCCCTAAATTGAAATGGTGGGTTTTTAATCACCAAAATCCTGAGTCTCTGCTGCCCAAGTGTGAAGAGGGACAACAATGCTTCCATTCTCTCTCCTTTGTCTTGTCTTGAGAATTGAACCTCTTCAAGGAAAGGCCTGGCCTTTGATGTATATAGATACAGCACTTAAGAATGGACCTTGCTCTTGGTTTGCTTCCATGAGTTAAATTCTGAACTGACTGACTTCAATGGGACTGGCATTTCCTTCTGTGTGCTATTAGTATACAGTTAGAATAATCATGTAGTGACATTGATGACAATCGAATTCAACTGAAGAGCATTTAGAGGAAAGAGAGAAAGATGAGGGACTTAACTCTGCTTTGGATGAGCATCCATCCAGTGCCAGTCCCAAGCCCAGATAAAGAAGGAGGGTTAGCGTCAGTAAGGGCATCCGGCTGTAAAAACCTCTGCCAAATCATCGTCATGCCAAGGAACAGAGCCAAGATCTGCAACAGCAACCCCATTTAGATGGGACAGCAAGGGGAGAAGGAGAAGGAGAAAAGGGACTTGCCTATAAGACAGGAAAGATGAGGGACTTGCATAGGTAGCAATGAATGCAAAGAATAAAGAAAAAGGATAGCAAAGGAAGAAAAGCACTAACAGGAGTAGAGATGGAGATTAAAGGACCAGATCTGAAAAACCTTGTAGGCCCTTCCTCTTATGCACTTCCTCAAGAGGAAGATTCAAATAGAAGGGGGGCTGTGGGTCAAGACTGGCCATTGATGTTTATAAATGGGTCCTGGTACAAAAAAGGTTGAGAACCACTGTTCTAAAGCACCCAATATGTTGGAATCAAACATATCATCAGTGATAATATCCTTTCAAAAGGCATGGACTTTTCACTACTATGTCCTACAAATACTGTTTTTCATGCATAACCAAAAATGTTCCTCAAATGAAAATGAATGTTGCAATGGGTGAGATTTTCATGTGCTTTTCATTAACTGTAGTTCCAGATGTCATATGCAAACATTTGTTAATATTGGGGATTTCTGAAAAACAGCCTCCTCTTCATATTGCATTGACTGGAAATGTATACTATATGCATGCACTACAAATTGTGTGGCAACATAACCTGCTATTTTTCTGTATGCAGGGGTATGTTTCTGAGAGTTTAAAAATGGAGTTTAACTACCCTTCAATATGTCATTCAAAGCTCAGGAATATGACTCCATTTTTTAATCAGAGAACCACAGCTGTTAGAGCTAGAACACCTAGTCCATGTCCCTACCAATGCAGGACAGTTCTTTAGAGTACATTTTCAATGTTCTTATTGCAAAGAACCAAACACACTTGAGCTCAGAAGGGCAGGCTGCATATGCAATGCAGTAGCATGAATCCTTCAATGGTCACACATCATTTATAAACTCGATATAAGCCTCAAAGGACATCAATAAACACGTGAAACTAGCAAAACTGTCTGAGTTTAGCCAGAAGCTAATTTCAAATTCTCTCATAATGATTCTTTTAAAAAGCTCCTGTAATAGAAGAATCCTTTAAAGTTAATGATAATGCTGGCTGATTTGTCAGGAAACTTAATGACTTAAAATAAGCCTGCAAGCACTCTAGATCTACCTTTCTGATTTGAGTGGTACTGAAATTTTGAGGCAAAAGGGCAATTTTAAATTAAAATATATATTGATTGCTGCTGATTGAAAGAATGAGCTTCCATAATGCAGCCCTCTCTTGTTCACCTGGTAGACAGCACTAATACTGAACTGAATCTTGCTACCAATCATTTCCAAAGCATAAACTACAACTCTGTGATCAAGATATATTTTGGACCTTTTTCTTTAAAACGTAGCAGTCAACCGTGCTTTGGGGCAATGATTTCTACACTCAGCCCATTCTGCATAGCATTATGGCATGATATTGTGAAAGCCATTAGGAAATTAAATGCCCATCATTCTGCGTAATGTCATGTTTCCTTAAAAGGTTAGGAGTTGTAAAGGTTTATTTGACTAGCCTGTGAGCTGCACTGATTAAAAAAATTGCAATAGCTAAAATTTGAGGTAAGCAAAACAATGATTTACTTCACTGACTGATTTATTATGTAGCAGTGGTATACATCATAAAAAGAAGCTGTTCCATCAAAAAGGATAATTACTTTATCTTGTTTATTTTTCTAACGTATTTAAAAATGAATTTCTCACTCGGTTTAAACCAATTTCACAAGGATCTTTCCGCATCTCTCTGTTTCTATAGGCAAATAGCATTAAAACCCACCTGGGAAAATAAAAGAAACAATACTTAAATAAAAATGGCCACATACCTCTTGTGTTTTATTATTTGATGGCTGTGTAACTGGTAAGACCTTGACCTTTAAATGAATGGTGTGATCAAAGGTGTATAGCCTGCCACCGTCTGTTCTACTTCTCCTGGAAGCACCAATGACCCTGTTGAATATAAAATAGTGAACTTGATCCTTTCACTTAATGTATAATTTAGCAAAATCATGCTCTAAAATCCTGCACAGATCAAGCAGAAAAAGAAGTTTGTTAATAAAAGCCTGCTATACTCTTCTTACTGTGTAATAAAACTCTGCACTGGTCTGGTCCTGTAGGGAGCAGACCAGGAAAGCCAAGGCTGCAACTGAACTCCAGCTAGCTTTGAGCATCAAGGACAATAAGAAGTCCTTTTTCAGATATGTGGGGAGCCGGAGGAAAAGCAGGGGCAACATTGGACCCCTGCTGAACCAGATGGG